CAAAAAGGGCGCAATGGGGTTACCTTGTCGGACCGAGAAATGAAGGGAAATCGGAGGGGCAATGTTACAATTAACCATTACCCGAGTGGTGACATTTACATGTAAAATTTTTATCCATCTCCTAGAAAAGGTCCAAAGTTCATCTTTTTCAAACATTTGTCCAGGAAGAACCAGTCCACATGGTCATAGACTTTCTCAAAATCAATAAATATAAAGGCCACAGTGTGTTTGGATTGACGAGTCAATTTAACGAGTTCATTGGTAAGAAGCACATTGTCCTGTATATGCTGTCCATTGATAAATATTGTCTATGCTTGATGGATAATGTCTACAATAACTTTCGTTGAACGAGTTGTCAACGCCTTGACAACCATCTTATAGACAACAATAAGTAAGGTAATTGGACGATAGTTGCAAATATTTGATTTACCTCCTCTTTTTATACGAGAGGGTGACCCACAAATTCCCCCTCCCGTCACCTAGACTGCATGGTAATAATCCATGAGGTCCTGCGAGAAAAGGTCCCAGAGGGATTCCCATAATTCCTTTGGGAGATGCCCAATTTTTTTTCCTCCTCCATGAGCATCAAGGCTGTCCATATCTCTTTCTTAGTTAGAGACATCTCTAACATCTCCTTTTGCTCTTTCGTTCGTGTTTTTTGTCAACGGGAGTACAACGCAGATCTTGGGGAATATTCTCCTTTTCAAAAGTGAGGACACTTTTAGAAAAATCCCGGGGCAACTTCCTTCTCCTTGTCCAACATTTGTTGAAATGGATGAACTCATTACAATAAATCTGTGTCAGACGCTCAATCTCTTCGATTCCTTCAGGAGACTATACTCGTCCCAGCGCACCTTCTCATGTTTTAGGAAAGGTAATGCTCGTCACAGGTCTAAGTCTATGATTGATATGATTGTAGTGTCAGAAGAACTGCAAGGCGCCCTCCAGGTCGCATAAATATCCCATGTAGCCCTCTTCTGTGGCTTGACCACACAATGTGTGTGGTAATTTTTTCCTTCAGGAAAAAAACAGACCAGGGGAGATTTTTTTTTTTAACTTGATACCTCTCATCTTAAAATTGATCGCTTCACAACCTGTCACCAAGATGTGTGGCCTTCTGGCGGGAACAGAGGGAGTTGATTCAAGATGATGTCAAATAGTTCAATAACGGCCTTGCATTCTTGGTCGTAAATGTGCAACCAGGCTCGTCTTCCTCCTTACTCAGCATGCATGAAAACAGATGGCAATCACACTGGTGCCAGGCGCCCACACAAAGCTCAGAGATATCGAGGCCAAGAACACAGTTCAGATTCAAACTTGCTTCCGATGGTGGTGGCTCCTGTGCGCCTACACAACACCCAGCCGACACTGTCTTCCCGGCAATTGTTCACACGCACACTACTCTGGATCTCCCTGGATGTCCCACAGACACTCACACACTTCGCGCAACACGCTCACACGTACACGTTACAGCCTATCTCTAACCTGCGGCAGCTATGGCCGCCTTCTACCTTCCTAGCTACTAGCGGCTATGACCACTTTGTCTCCCTCGCAGCGCACTTCTCCTTCGGGCACCTGCAGACCTCCTTGCACAAGATGCTCAGGCACCGCTTCCGCATGGCTTGCAGGCAGAATGAATGAATGGCTGGACGCTGCCTCTTGATTTACACTTCGGTTGGTCGCTAGTCTGCTCCTTCCCACCGGGCCCAGGGTGCACACAATCCCACATGATACTTGCTGACTGGAAAAGTGCGATTGGGACTGGGTACCGCTGACTAGGCGAGGTTGGACTAACCACTTGCCCACTTGCCTACAGACCTTCGCCCAAGACTACACGAAGGGTCACTTCCGGACCTTCCGGAAGGTTGTGGACTTGACCCTTCAGTACTGTAGCAGCTATGACCTTGACCTTTCAGTACTGTAGCAGTTACAACCGCTACCACTACCAAGACTTCTAACCTACAGACCTACTGTTCGAGACCCGCTCACCACACTACCTACGACATGCAGGCAGGCGACTTTCAAGGCACAGGTCGCGGGTTCAAACACACAGGGGTCGACGTGGTACTGTACACGGGTACGGGCAAGGTCTAGGGGTCGAGCCCTGGGATCTGCATCTGCTACTGCAAAGGTGAAAACAGTTTCAAATGCAATGAATACTTTAAATTGTTGGCTGCACAATGACATTCTCAAGAACATCAGTTGTACCTGAAACTAGAACGACTGCTACAACAAGAAATTGATTCTGAATAAACAGAAGTTTTACAGCCCTTGGCCAGAGAGATTCACTTGGAAGAGCAATTGCTCTCTCAAATGGAATATTGGTGGCAGGGTATTCGCATCAGGGGTAAGCTTTGAAGACACGATACGGAAGGGGCCATGGATTCAAGCTTCTTTGCAATGGCCAGAGTCCGTACGGTGAGAACGGTAATTGAAGGCCTTTTTGACCCCTTAGATAGACAGGAACCATTGGCCACATCCACTGCAGCTTGCACCCTTGGGTTAATCTCAAGCGTCTTCCTCGGCTCATTTGGGATCAGACTTCTCACAATCTGCCTTCCTCTCTTGGTGTTAATACACTCAAGCCTTTCGGCGAATTCAACAGTTTGACAACACTTTTACATCCAAGTACAATCTTTCTTTTCCATGAGGCTCTTAGAAGAGAACTGAGATATGTATTTCTTCTGTCTACCTCTGATTCAGTTTTTACCAGGCATATCAGTTCCAACATTCCACCATTCTCAAAATCCGACTTCATGTCTTTGATCAGGTATGTACCATACTTTATCCCTTATGCGTTATACCAACTGCGCCACTAGCCGTCATCTCTCAACAACAGAGTAGGGCAGGGGGAGTGCTGTCTGGGTATGGAAACTCTCATCAGGCCCGATAGGTCCCATTGTTCATTGCCCATGGGAGACGGTTTCGAACGTGCGGTTAGGGGTCTCTTTCACCAGGATCATTTGCTACCAAGTTTGTGCCGCACAAAACTTAAGAATATTAATGTTCAAATGCACATCCATGTCACAATATGAGGTAGAGAAAAGGACTAGGAGCGGAGGGAGTTACATGCCCTAGTTGACTGTTCGCCTCTAAGGCATGGGAGATTAGGTCCCGTTGACCTTAGTTATGAGGAGGGTCACAAAGGCGTTGTCGGGCGTGTATACTAGATCAACAAACGAGCAAATCCCCTCGGCTGATGTACCTCTGCCACAGCAAGTTGTCATATGTGCATCAGTAGATTCGTGGGGATACTCCCCCAAGTGTGGTGACAGCCCTTGGGTATGGGAAGTTTGTCCCTTGAACCCTATCATGTCATAGGGCTTGGCAGGATGTAAGATGGAGTGGTGAACTGCTTAAGTGCATCCGCATACTCGTCTTCCTGCGTGACATGACTGGAAGGACTCCCTCCAAGGAGGGAGCTGGTGCGCTCGACACCGTTATGCACAAAAAGGTGCTGCGACAGTGGGGTAGTGGACAGCGCGATGGCAGAGCAGGGAAGATAGGTGTGGTGGTGGAAAGTTGGTGGGAAGGAAGAGCGATTGTGCCAAGGTAAAAACGTGTGGCACGATGGCGGGGATATGTGGGGGATGAAAGAGTCGGCGCAGGGGGGGAAGAAAAAGTGATGGCGGTTTTGGGGAAGGCAGGCAGGGATGCCAAAATGTGTGCATGTGTGGGGAAGGGCCGAGGTGCGCACCCACAAGTTGGTGGTTATGACTTTCCTGGTGTTTGCCATCTGCGCCTGCGGCTCCTTGTCATCGTCGTCCTCGCGCTGTGAGGGCTTTGTGGGAAGGATGGGCGGGAACGGCACTCTGATACCGGTGTACCAGGATCCTCATCAGATGGCAAATCCTGTCTGCCGAGAAGAGAGAGACAGAGAGGGAGATGGTGGAGATGAGGGGTGGAGCTGGGGGGGCTGGTCAAGCATTACAGCGACAACACACAACACACAACACACACTATGACTTACACTAACACGGTGTACTACTGGCCCCAGACTGACACTTCAGCATGAAGGATGAACGAGAATATAGACTGCTGCTGGGGGATGGCCCCAGTGGACTGACTCCTGGCCAAACAAGACACACATAAAATACAGTCCCAACCTCTAACCGGGGTTACCCGGCCTGCTCTTCGGGCCTGGCACATTTTTCTCGGGCGGCCACTCCGTGGGCCCACCGAGGCCTGAGGCCTCACAGTTGTATGCGTATAATTTCCAATTTCCTCTACCTACATTAAAAGAGAGAGAAATCATATACAACACATGGACATGTTGTTCAATGGCCATATCTAGATGTGTGGCTTACAGAAACGAAAAATTTCTGTCTATTGGTCAACTCGATCTCATTGGCTCTTCAACAAGAGCACGGATCCCGTAGCTGGTGAAGCACCACTGCTATCAAGCTGCTGTTAACTCTCGCGCACCCC